AGGCATAAAAGTCAGTGTAGAATATCCTACCTCCCACTAGAGACAGCATATTCAAGATTGCTGTGTAGTCCCTTGGGCAGGAAGCTGGATTCCTCAGCCACTGTCTACCCACTTCTTCTCTATACTCACTTCAGCTCCTCTACCTCTGAGCACTTGACTGAAGAAAGAGTATAGCTTTCTGTAGCAAGCAAAGGAAAGCCAGACCCAAAATATAGAGGCTGCAGTATCTGAAATTCTTATCATGTTCAGATATTAATATTTGATTTTGTTGCCCAAATCAAACAATGTCAGAACACTTGGGTTTAGTGCTTTTTTTTTTTCTCTCTCCCACAAACTTCTAGTTTAGTGCTTTTGTCCACTGGCTTCTGTTTGGCAGGAGTAGCCAGTGGAGGTCAAGTCTGTTTTTAAAGACTAAAACACCTAATTCCTTTTAATGATATGTAACATTTGTTTGAATCTCCAACTTCTTTTTTTTTTTTTTGTAGAGATAGAGCCTCCCTATGTTGCCCAGTCTTGTCTTAAACGTCTGGGCTTGGCTGGGTGCCATGGCTCACACCTGTAATCCCAGCACTTTGGGAGGCCGAGGCAGACGAATCACCTGATGTCAGGAGTTTGAGACCAACCTGGCCAACATTGTGAAACCCTGTCTCTACTAAAAATACAAAAAATTAGCTGGGTATGGTGGCGGCACCTGTAATCCCAGCTACTAGGGAAACTGAGGCAGGAGAATCGCTTGAACTCGGAAGGTGGAAGTTGTAGTGAGCCAAGATTGCACCATTGCACTCCAGCCTGAGCAGCAAGAGCAAGACTCCGTCTCAAAAAAAAAGAAAGTCTGGGCTCAAGGAATCCTACCACCTCAGCCACCCAAAGTGCTGGGATTACAGGCGCCAGTCACCACACCTGGCCCATGATGGATTTTCAGATGACCTCTTTTGCTTTTAGTCTCTCCAAAGAGAGATATTCTTGTTTTTAATGTCGATATTGTTATAATAGTCAAGATGGCCTCACCTGAATGTTGTAGGTGTCAGAAATTGTTTCAGTAGTAATATGCCACTAGGCAGACCACCTAATCTTTAAATCCAGTTGTAGCACTCAATTTACTTTCTGTTTGCAGCACTAGTGCACTGAGCTAAGTCAACTTGCCCACCTTTCTAATATTTCTTACAGCTAAGGAGGAACTGTTGGTCCTTTGATACCCTAGAATGCTTTCTACCTTGTGGAAATGCTTTTCACCTTAATACACGGATTATATTGTCTAAATGTCTAAACAGGGATTCTCTGGTTAGAATTTAAATGAGAGAGTGATCCATTTTCAGATTTTTAGAGGTTGGCTCCCGTATTTTAGGTACTAGCTGATAAGTATTTAGTTTCCTGGTGACTTTGGATAGGGCAAGTGGAGATACAGAGAATGTGAAATTCCAGATAATAAGACCAGCATTACTCACAAATGACAACCGATGCAGTGATTTCTGCCCAAATGCAGTAAGAATCTTGTAGGGAGATAAAGTGGTAAAATTACATGAATCTTTTTACCATGACTATTTTTTTTTTCCCTAACTGTAGCGTAGTTCTCTGCCTATAAAGCCATGCGAATATCCTAGACCCAGGAATTAATTCCTGCTTAGGAAAATTTTTTCTTCTGGCTTATCTTTTGTTTGTGCCCAGAGTTTTGTCCTAGGCCTGTCCCCTGATCTTTTGCTATAACACATACTTAAGGTGCAGTCTTCTTTCCTAAATCAATACTTTACTATTGGTGTTGCTGCCAGTTATTTATTTAGAAAGAAAGTGAAAAAATGCCTAGGTAGTTTGATTGCAGCATGCTAAACCCATAAATCTGGATGGAAGCCATGGAGTCTTACCTTTTCTCTGTCTGGCTTGGATGAACAACGGCCTTATGCTTTCTATTACAGGACTAGTTGACCCAGTTCTTCATATTCGTTGCACATTAGAATTGTATAGGACCCCCTCTAGACATTTACATTTTATTGGTCTGTTGTGCAACCTGGGCTTTAGATGATTCTAATATGCAGCCAAGGTTGAGAATCGCTCCCTGTGAAATCCCTAATGGTCTTTAGCAGGATAACATCAATGCAGTTCTCTTTGACCTGAAAATATCTTTATTGATATTCCATGCAAGGCTCTCAATTCAAAGTGTACAGCTGGCCAAGGCTTAGGTAGTAAAATGGATCATCCATTTGTCCTCAGAGTAATTCTGGAGGGAGATACTGTCATCTGTCCAGTTTCCTCTCTATACCAAATACAAAGTACACATAAGTAAGCAAAACAAATTTTCAAAGATCCTTCTCTAGAATTCTTGTTCCTTTGCATATGTAATTTCAGTGGAGATTTCTCAACTAGCTGAAATGGAGAACTTGAATTTATTAAAAGATCCCAAACTGCTTACAGCAATTTCTATTTGTAAAATAAACAGGTAGCATCGTTAACGGAGAAAAGGAAGGATCCTGCTTGGGGTGATGGTAATATGTTTGATTATTTGTCTCTTAGCCTGTCTTCTAAGTGGGATTTCAGTGTCAGTTCACTTCACTTTTCTTGGCTTGTTTTTTTGTGAATGAAATGAACTAGCTAAGGCTTAAGTATTTCTGAATAATATATGAAATATGAAATGAATCATTTTAGGATCTTTGTTCTGGAATGTCAAAGACCTAACCAAGTACTTCCCAAATGAGGTTCCAGATTCATTCTTCTCATCCAGGGTAGTAAAGGTGTTTCAATGGGTTTGTTACTTGCCCATGGCAACCTCACACATGGTAATAGAGAGGGGAGAATTGTTTTATTACCCTAAAAAAGTGAGAACCACTGTTCAAACTAACTAGCTACCAAGAGACTTCTAACTCATGAAGAAAATTTGTATTTAAGAGCAAGTTCAAATGTAGTAGTCTCTCTTCTGAGAGTATTCTGGATACCACGGAAAGTTTCACTTACATATTGCCTACAAGTAATTGGTAATTTGAACTTCAGTAGGTAATATGTGCAAAGAGAAAAAGTAGGTCAAGGAGAAAGTTGGTTAGTGCAGAGGACTGAATTAGCATCAGTCTGAAATTTCATTAAAGTAGCACTAAGGCCTGGGTGTTTGCTTAGCATGTAAATGCTGCAGTGTCAGAGAAAATGCCTCTTATGCCTTAGAAAATTTGCTGAAGGCTCCGTGTTACTGGTGGAATAGAAAAGCAGTAGCCTTTGAGACTCCAAAGAGAGTATCCCCCTTAGGGTTTTCATACTGAAGAACCTTGTGGAGTACTGTGAAACATTGTTGAACTTTATGCAAATTATACTGCACTGGATTTTAAGATTTTATGGGGGAGAGAGTAGAGGAGAATGGGGAAGTAATGATAAAAGATAAATACGTAAACTTGTACTATATTTTAAGCAAGGAATGAAACAAATTCCCTCGCAGGAATTCCCTCTCAGCACTGTGAAGTTTGGTCAAGTTCGGCCTGATGGGTTGGCTTGCTGATTCCTCTTAAACCTCTAGGAAATCCTTTCTAAAACGGCAAAACAAACGTTAGTTTGAGTACTGTTTAACCACCCTGCTCCATCCCCCTACTCTCAACAAAAGAAAAGCATTCCCAAACTATAGGCAAAAGAAATGTGTTCTATCTCAGTCCATTAATTTTTCATCTGCTATGATCTGTGTTCACAGTTTTAGCACATTGCATTATTTTGTGATCTGATAGCAGAACATCAGGAACTAATGGCTTCCTTCCCTTTAAGAAACCTTAAAGTTAGAACCTTTTTTTTTTTTTTTTTTGAGACAGGGTCTTGATCTGTCACCCAGGGTGGAGTGCAGTGGCACACTTATAACTCACTGCAGCCTCCACCTACCAGACTCTATCCTCCTGCCTCAGCCTCCCAAGTAGCTGGAATACAGGCACGTGCCACCACACCCAGCTAAATTTTCTATTTTCTTTTAGAGACAGAGTCTCACTATGTTGCCCAGGCTGGTCTCAAACTCCTGGGCTCAAGTGATCCTCCCACCTAGGACTCCCAGAGTTACAGGTGTGAGCCATTGTGCTTGGCCTAGAACTCTGTTTTTGGCATTTCTTTCTAAATGAGTACATTGGAAGAACATTAGGTTTCCAGGCTCCTCATGATTTCTGAAGGGGACCCGCTCTGCTCTGCCTCTGAAAGGAGAAGAAAAGGCTGAGGGTTCAAAGATAGAAAAGTCAATGTAGCAGAAATTTGATTTCCTTCAGATGGACATAGTCTGAAAGAAATCTATCCAGCTGTTCTCTATGGTGCTTACATGATGGGTGACAGCTGTCCCCATCTACCTGTCCCTGGCACTGTGCCTTCCCACTGGTCACTGTGAAAAGCAAATCACACTGGACTCAGAGGCCAGAATCCAGGACAAAATCCCCCTTTTCATCTTGAGCCCATCACGTCTTTGTATAGCTGTTAATGTAGCATTTACTTCTTTATGGGAAACTCTTGGGTTTTTAACCCAAGAAGAAATTGTAAAGCATTTAAACTAGTCAGAAAATAAGATTCTGATGGTAGCGATCAAATAAAGAGATGACAGGAAAATTTCACTTCCTCTCAGTTGATATTGATTGATAGCAAGGATCAACTACGCCCACCTCTTCCTACGTTTTTAAAGGCTACCATAATATTTGTAAGCAACAAATTTATCTAACATTTTTTACAACTTGCTAATCAAGGAGGATTCATATTAAAACAGACAATCAGTTTCTAAAATGTTATCCCTGAAAGGGAATGGAATAGAGTATTTTTAGCTATAAGAACCTACCAGTCTGTTTTTTCCCTTTGAAAAAACTAATGTTTGAAATTTGTGTCTTTCATCTGAAGCAGTTACTCCATTAGTAGTAAAGATGCCTCGGAAAAGTCAGTGAACCAGGATAGTGCTCTTGCACCACTGAGGGTGCTAGACTGGCTTTGTGCATCTTATTTCCTAAGAGTATCAGTTTTTATTATGACCTTAATTATAAATACCTATATATAGGAGTAGGATTTTCTCTCACCCAACCCTACTTTAATCATTATCACTTAAGTGTAAACCACCACCTCCCCCTCTTTTCCTTTACTGAAAAAAAATGCACTTTAATTCCTAAGGAGAGTGGCTGTTCCTGGCCCTGAAGCCAGATTACTTCAGGAGGAGAGTTAAGGAGGGAGAACTCTTGCCAGACCCTGTGAAATTAACCAAATTTCTTAATGTAAACACACAAGTAATAGCATCCACTTTTAAGTGGCCCCCACTCCATGCCAAAGGGGAAAAGAACCACCAAATCAAAAAAGATTTCTAAGTACCTGTCCTGATTTTGGAAGTTTCACTGAGGAAAAACTAAGATTATTTTCACAGCTACCAATTTGTCAGAAACTTTGGTGGTGTTTTGTGGGAGGCTGAGATTTTTTAAATTAAAAATCAAGTGAAAACACAAAGATCTAAAATATGGTCCTGATTTGTGTCATTTCTAAGTATCAGATTTGTTCTCCCTTCATTTGACAGATGTTCTCAGTCTCTCCTCCTGTAAGATTCTGTCCTTCCCCTGATGACGAGCCAATAGTTCTTGATGGGGTTGCATGTCTCCTAGAGCCCCAGGACCCCTGTCGTGTCGGGGAAGGGGGGAGGGCAGGAGGGTGGGCAGAGACTCGGGTTGGGGGAGGGAGATTCAAAGAAAGAGTGAAAATATGGGTTTATATAAACATATTTAAAACAGTTTAGCAAAAGCTTTCTCGTTGAACAGCTTTAAGAACAATGTGAATGAAATCTTAGCAACTTGGTTAGTAATCTGAAAAGTCTATTAATGTATACTTGAAATTCTGTTTGTATAAAAATGCATTTTCCTCTTTATTTTAACACTGTGTAAAAGAACATTATGCATGTGAGTGGTTTGAGAATTAAATGGTTTAATACTCAGGTTTGAATCTGTCTTTTCCATATATAGAAACAATTTGTTTAAATTTGTTTTTATTGATATTTTTTAGTGTCATGGAAATCCTGAGAATGCACTCTCCCATTCCTTTCTGGCTGTCTACCATCTTTCATCGCTGTCTCCCTCATTTTCTTGATCCAGATGTGGTTACTGGGCAAAGAACAACTTGAAGGCATCATTTTACCAAATGCCCCAATAGCATGTTTCCCCTTTCCTTGTCTTCATTTCAGATGCAGAGTCCATTTATAATGTAAGATGGGAGTAGTTGTATTTATTTTTACTTCTATTCACAAACCAAAATAGGAAGAGGTACAAAGAATAAGAACAGTTTAGCTCACACAAGGGTTGGCTACTCTGCCCATGAAGATAATAGTGTTCAGAGGAACTTCTCTTATAAAAACCAGGAAAGGCCTGTTGGCCTTGAAGGTCACCCTGTTGGGGTTTAGCGAACGGCCAGCAATCCCAATGGCGGTACTTGCAGCTGCTTCACTGCCTTCTTCATTTACCTGCAGGTCACATGGGAAATAAAACTACATTATTTACTCTGCTGTTCATTATTGGCAGGTAAATCATCCACAGACACAGCATTTCCTCAAATGCTTTTGTTTTCCAGTAAAAAGTACATTTGGGTCAGGTTGGATTCCCTCCAGAATCCTACTTCTACTCATTCTTTCATACAGATAATGTAAGGTACTTGTGTTTGTCCAAGCCTTGTGCTAGGTAGTAAGTGTAAGAGTTCCATTAAGGTAACCCAGAAATCTGAATGTACACAGGTTATCACATTTCTGGCTGGTACCATTGTAAATGGTTTTACAGCAGATTTTTTTGTACCAGCTGCTGAAAGATTTTTGGCTCAAGATCTGAACTCCATAGTTGAAACTGTTTCACTCTTGGAGCATCAAGATCCAAGATACAGCTACTCCAAAGAGCCACTCAGGACCTAGGGCCTGTGAAAAGAGGTGGGTTGTCTGGCTGGACGAGATGCCATTTTTTTGGAGTAATAGACTGAAACAGTGGTATTTGAATATGGTTGATAAGCAGGTCTAGAGGGAAACACCTTCAGAAAATTTTGCCTCAGGACCCAGAATATCACTAGAACTCTGTTTCTGCTCTTAATGAAAGCACATGATTAACCAGCTGCCTGGGTTTTCTGGAGCTAGTTAATGATGTCTTCTTCCCTCTCACTCTTCCTTCCCCTTCCTTTGTTCCTCCCTTCCTTACCCTCTCTCTCCCAATAGTGTCTATTTCATGCTCGTTCCAGGACTAAGTTTATTAGCAGACTAGAGTGTTTGCATGACCAGGATCCTTTTATTCAAATCAGGTCTGGTTTTTAATGGCTTCTCAGATCTACAATTAGTTGGGGTCCTGTTTATTAAGGGTTCCCAAGGTTTTCAAAGAAAACGGCTTTGTTATGAGAACCACAGAAAAATCTACATCATTGTGTACTGGGCTCAGGTGGATAAAATGAATCCAGACCTCTGCTTCTTCCTAATAGTAACTCAAGCCCCTCGAGGTCTGAGCTGACACTTCTAATTGGAGTCCTTACAAGGAGAGATAAAAAATTCAACGAGAGTTAAAACCCTGAGGACTCAATTTCCCTTGCAGTCTTCCTTTCTTTCTTCCAAAAATCCATATGAAAGAGGGTGTGAGCAGTGTCATCTTAACTTCCAAAACCATTAATGCAGCACTGGTAAAATCCCTTGTTCTGATCTCAATACCTCTACTCTTGCTATTGTCTTAAAGGTCGTTAACATTCATTGTCTTATAGATTATATGCCCACAATGAGGATTTTTGCACATAGCCTTTCTGTCCACCCCAACTCCTGCTATCATTAGAGACAATTAAATTATCGCAGTAGGCTGGGCACGGTGGCCCATGCCTGTAATCCCAGCACTTTGGGAGGCCGAGTCAGGTGGATCACTTGAGGTCAGGAGTTTGAGACCACTGAACCCAGGAGGCGGAGGTTGCAGTGAACTGAGATCATGCCACTGCACTCCAGCCTGGGTGACAAAGCAAGACTCCATCTCAATGAAAATGAAAAAAAAAATCTCAGTAGGAGACCCATTCAACACCGTAGCCTCCCATTTCTTTCATCTCGGCACACCTAGTGAGCATTACCACGTAAGCAAACCTGTCCATGGCTACACCCTGGACTTGCCATCTCAGAACTGCTCTACCTTTGAAATTATATTAATAGCATCCTTTTCTCAGACTATAACCTTGTGTTCTTTCAAGTTATCACATTTCCTCACTCCCGTTAAAATTCCACTTTCCTCTGAACCAGGCATTTCCTACTGAGCTTGATCCCTGGATCTATATTTACTAGCACCATCCTCTGAAACCTTTCTCTTTGACTACAACCTTCATTCTTTTCGATTTCTTCAATTCTAGGAACTTCTCTACCATTGTCCCATCTCCTTTCCCTCACAGCCTGGCTCCTGCAAAGAATAGTCTATACCAGTGGTTCCCAAATCTCATTGTGCATAAGAATCCCCTGAGGAGTTTAGTACATACACGGATTCTCAGGGCCCATCCCAGAATCTCCAAAGATAAAGCTCCCCAGATGACTGCTGCTGTTGGTCCATAGTTTAGTGTTTGCTTGAGAACAACTAGAACCAGAAGTTCCACAGGCTGTACACAGCTGTTACTCTAACACAGGGTTCCATGCATACCTCAGCTGGGGGAACACTAGGTTAAGTGATACTCAACCGTTTTCTTTACTGTGGGACTTCTCAGACCTCAGCATGCCAGCGTGTACTGTTCATCTCTCACGAAAGGATATACATTTATTTGACCACCTTTTCATTTCCTCCAGTATAGTCTAGTGCTCTAGTTGTCTGGAGCACACTTTAAGACACTGATGCACACTCACTAGCTTCCCTTTCTTACCTTCCATTTGCTCTTCATCCATTACAATTAGGCATGTGGCTACACTATTCTGTCGTCAGGGAATGGTAAACTATGGGCAGTGTCCAAACCTTTTTTTTTTTTTTTTTTTTTTTAAGACTTTTTGGTAGAGACAAGGTCTCACTATGTTGCCCAGACTGGTTGTGAACTCCTGGGCTCAAGTGATCCTTCCATCTCACCCTCCCAAGGTACTGGGGTTACAGGCGTGAACCACCATGCCCAGTCCTGGAGTCTTCTTACTAGATGCTATCCATTTTCTTAAAACTTCTCCCTGGGTTGGCTGGGTGCAGTGGTTCATGCTTGTAATCCCAGGACTTTGGGGGTGCCAAGGAGGTGGATCACCTGAGGTCGGGAGTTCAAGACCTGCCTGACCAACATGGAGAAACCCTGTCTCTACCAAAAATACAAAAATTAGCCGGGCATGGTGGCGCATGCCTGTCATCCCAGCTACTCAGGAGGCTGAGGCAGGAGAATCGCTTGAACCGGGAGGCAGAAGTTGCAGTGAGCTCTCGCGCCATTGCACTCCAGCCTGGGCAAAGAGCAAACGAAGCTCCGTCTCAAAAAAAAAAAAAAACCTTCTCCCTGGGTTTCTGCGACCCCATACTCTTCTGGTTCTCCTCATCCTGTAAATTCCTTCTTGATGGCCTTTGCTGGCTTCTTTTCCTATATCACCCTCCTAAATATTTGTGCTCCCGCTTGACCTGCTGCAGAAGAAGTAGTGGGAGGGAAGGCAGAACAATCACACCATGAGGGTTTCGGGGAGGGCTGTATTATAGCAGGCCTTGTGGAGGCCTTTTGCAGGCCTTAACACTGGAAACAGGCCTTTTCCACATGTGTGTTCTGTTCATGCATCTCCTGTCTGTACCCTAAGAGCTCGTGGAGCAAGAACTCCAGAGTTAGAAATCACATGAAATACTGAATAATAAAGTGGCAGAAAAGTAGCATAGGAAGAGAGAGTCGGGAGGTGTACTCACCTCAAGAAATGCCTTATGGAATGCATCTGAGACATAGAGGTCATCCCGGCCTTCTGCAACAATACCTGGAAGGAAGACCGGAGAAGGCGTTGTGAGATGGGAGAAAGTTGGCTTCAACTCACAGATGGAAATTCAGTTTGAATTAAGAGATCCTTTGGGGCTTTTTGAAACATAAGAAGAAATCCTAAATCTTCACCTAATCATACTCTCACAATGAATGTGTGTTAAAAATAATAAAGTACTTTGGGGGCCGGGTGCAGTGGCTCACACCTGTAATCCCAGCACTTTGGGAGGCCAAGGCGTACAGATCACCTGCAGTCAGGAGTTTGAGACACTCTGACTAATATGGTGAAACCCTGTCTCTACCATGAAAATACAAAAATTAGCCAGGTGTGGTGGCGAATGCCTGTAATCCCAGCTACTTGGGAGACTGAGGCAGGAGAATCGCTTGAATTTGGGAGGCGGAGGTTGCAGTGAGCCAAGATCGCGCCACTGCACTCCAGCCTGGACCACAAGAGCAAAACTCCAACTCAAAAAACAATAATAATAATAATAATAATAAACTACTTTGGGCTTATTCAGTGTGGCTCCTGATAATTCATTCTCAGGTTTCAGCTCTTTGTGGGAGAGAGAAAGGGCAAGACTCTGTTCTTACAGAAAAAAACTCACTCCATCCAGAAGGAACATCTTTCTTTCCAGTATGGCAACATTTTTAGTTTTCTAAACTAGCTTAAAGAGAGCCCAATATCGCAGTGGCTCACAGCTGTAATCCTAGCACTTTGGGAGGCCGAGGCGGGTAGATCACCTAAGGTTAGTAGTTCAAGACCAGCCTGGCCAACACGGTGAAATCCTGTCTCTACTAAAAATACAAAAATTAGCCTGGCATGGTGGCAGGCGCGTGTAATCCTAGCTCCTTGGGAGGCTGAGGCAGGAGAATCACTTGAACCCAGGAGGCGGAGGTTGCAGTGAGCTGAGATTACACCACTGCACTCCAGCCTGGGGGACAAGAGTGAGGCTTCATCTCAAAAAAAAAAAAAAAAAAAGAAAGAAAGAAAGAAAAAGGCCCGATAAAGATAAATGTAATTACTTAACATCAGAAGCTTATTATATTATTTATTTATTTAGCGATAGGGCCTCACTCTGTTGCTCAGGCTGGAAAGCAGTGGTGTGATCACAGTGCACTACAGCATTGACCTCCCAGGCTCAGGCAATCCTCCCAGCTCCACCTCCCAAGAAACTAGGACTGCAGGTGTGCACCACCGTGCCTGGATAATTTTTTTTATTTTTTGTAGAGACCGTTGTCCAGGCTGGTCTCAAACTCGTGGGCTTAGACGATCCTCCCACCTCGGCCTCCCAAAGTGCTGGGATTACAGGTGTGAGCCACCGTGGCCAGCCAACTTCTTTAAAAGATACTTTAATGTGCCGGGCACAATGGCTAACGCCTGTAATCCCAGCACTTTGGGAGGCCGAGGCAGGTGGATCACCTGAGGTCGGGAGTTCAAGACCATCCTGGCCAACATGGTGAAACCCCGTCTCTACTAAGAACACAGAAATTAGCCAGGCATGGTGGCACACGCCTGTAATCCCAGCTACTCAGAAGGCTGAGGCATGAGAATTGCTTGAACCCGGGAGGCAGAGGTTGTAGTGAGCCGAGATCACACTGCTACACTCCAGCCTGGGCAACAGAGTGAGACTCTGTCTCAAATAATAATAATAATAATAATAATAATAATAATAATAATAAACGTCAGTGAGGCCTGTGTAATGGGAACCAAATTTCCCCAGCTCTTAATATCTGTGTCTTTGCTCTGAATTCCAATGCCCTTTCACATTCCTCTCCACCTGGTCCTGTCTCCTGTACCTGATACAGACTCACAGGGCACCAGTGATGGCTGGGCCCATGGAGATCCAAGAACAAACTTCCCTTTTACAGAAGAGGAAACGGAGGCCTCAAAAGGAAAAGAGATGTCCACAAGTGAGCAGTAGAAACTAGGATCAGAATCCAGGAGTCCTGACTTGTTGCTCCTTTCTATTCTTTCTCCAACTCTTCCACTTTTGGTCAGACTACCTTGTGGGTAGGGCAGGGAGGAAACTCCTTCCTAGACAAACCTGGGAGTTTGGACTTTTCAGGGCTGAACAGATCGACAAGGCCCATGTCTTGCAGCTGCTCCTTCAAACTGAAGCTGTCCTCAATGCGGAAGCGGGGCATGTGGACCACCAGCATCATCTCCTCCAACTCATCCAGCCACTCCTGCAGCACCTCTGGGGTGAGTTCCTGCTCCACCTTGGTCAGGCTCTTCTCAGGCTTGGGCAGGATGAGCACCATGGTAATGTCATCACCCTTGAAGGGCAACTCAAGCACCTGGGTGCCTTCAGCCACGCGCCGATAACGGAACTTGCCTTCCTGGTACATCATAGACACTGAACACGACTCTCCATCAGCCTTGTAGAATGGTTCCATCCTTGTGTTCTCAGGGCTAAACTTTGACTTCCACAGGCCCTGGAAGAGAATCACAAAGTGAGAACAAAAACCTTCATAGGAGGATATTTATTGACACAAGACATATTCATATTATAGTGTTACGTTAATATATAAGTATAATTATTTGGAAAAAAGACTGGAGGAATATGCACAAAAAGGTTAATAATGACTGTGTCAGAATGATGGAATTATGATAGGTTTTTCTCTGTGTACTTTTCTGTATTTCCCCAGATTTTCAGCAGTGAGTATTTGCTTTTATAATCAGAAAAATAAAACCAAAACCAAGAACAATCTACAGGCCTCTCTGCAAGTCTCTTCTTGAGTTTAAATCTAATTGCCTTGTGCTGTCTGCCTTCCACCAACCTCTTTTCTTTTCTTTTTTTTTTTTTTTTTTTTTTTGAGATGGAGTTTTGCTCTAGTCGCCCAGGCTGGAGTACAATGGCACAATCTTGGCTCACTGCAACCTCTGCCTCAGGGTTCAAGCAATTCTCCTGCCTCAGCCTCCCAAGTTGCTGGGATTATAGGCACCTGCCACCACGCCGGGCTAACTTTTTGTATTTTTAGTAGAAATAGGATTTCGCCATGTTGGTCAGGCTGGTCTCGAACTCCTGACCTCAGGTGATCCACCCTCCTTGGCACCCCCAAAGTGCTGGGATTACAGGCCTGAACCACTGCGCCCGGCCCCACCAACCTCTTTTCTAAGGGCCAACCTCCAAAGTCCTGGGCTCTGCCAGACACAGACACAGGTAACAGAGGATGAGCCCTGACTGACTTCCTTTTCAAACTGGGAGACACCCTGAGATAGAAGACACACTTTTGAACATTACCATTCTTTATCACTTTCTAGCTCTGTAATTTGGGGACAAGCCATTTAACTCTTCTTTTTTGGGTGAGGGGACAGGGTCTCAATCTGTGCCCCATGTTGGAGTGATGCAATGGCAAGCTCATGGCTCACTGCAGCCTCAACCTCCCAGGCTCAAGCTATCCTTCCACCTCAGCCTCCCAGGTGGCTAGGACTACAGGTGTGTGTCACCATGCCCAGCTAACTTTTTTAGTTTTTGTAAAGATGGGATCTCCCTGTGCTGCCCACGCTGATCTTGAGCTTCTGTGCTTGAGTGATCCTCCTGCCTCAGTTTCCCAAAGTGCTGGGATCACAAGTGTGAGTCATCATGCCTGGCCCATTTAACTCTTCTGAGTAGTGGTTTCTTATCTGTAAAACTAAGAGCTGGTGATAGCTAATATTTATAGAATATGCTTACTGCATGCCAGGCACTTTTCTAAGCATTTTGCACGTATTAACTTCTACCTTATTTACATGCAGTAGCTACCTCAGTATCCCTATGTGGTAGATGTATCATTATTACCACATTATAGATGCAGAAATTGGAGCATAGAAAGATCTCAGGTAACTCACCCAAGTTCACATGGTCAGAAATGGAAGAGTCAGTATTTAAAATTAAGTAATCTGTCCGAGTGGCCCAGGTTTCATTTGTGATGTGAGAATCAAGAGGGCTAATAAATGTCAAATTGTTCTGCAAACTGTAAATGGCAAATTCACGTGGTGGAAATACAGTCTGCTCTGTCCTTGGAGAGGGGAAAACCGTAAGAGACAGAGCGACTGACAGCAGCAGCGACTGGCTAGTCCCCTGGGCCCTGTGGGAGGGAAGAATGTACTGGGAGGCACGTCCCAGGATGGGCAAAATATGCCACAATCTACCCGCCTTAAACTGGTGGTCTCCTGAGTGTCAGCGGTCTGCTTATTCCCACTCCCCTCTTCCTTTTCCTTCCCAAGTGTAATCAAGTTGACACAGTCTTCAGAACACTACTCTGAGGAAAACAAGGCCTTCTGCATCGGTAAATAATAGCACCTCCCCTAAGTCTGAGGTGAGCCTGTCACCTAGAAGCTCAGAAGATTTAAGCTAAAACTGGATTTTACAGGAAAGAAAACATTTTTAAAAAAGATAAAATAGGCCAGGCGTAGTGGTTCATGCCTGTAATCCCAGCACTTTGGGAGGCCGAGGCAGGCTGATCATCTGAGGTCAGAAGTTCGAGACCAGCCTGGCCAACATGGTGAAAACCCATCTCTACTAAAAATACAAAAATTAGCTGGGCATGGTGGTGTGCGCCTGTAATCCCAGCTACTTGGGAGGCTGAGGCAGGAGAATTGCTTGAACCTGGGAGGCAGAGGTTGCAGTGAGCCGATTGCACCATTGCACTCCAGCCTGGGCGACAAGAGCGAGACTCTGTCTCAAAACAAAAAACAAAAGATAGAATATATAAAAATAAATTTTAAAAACTAAAATTTAGGCAAAGGGAACTTTGACTCATTGTAGAAGCTGCTCCAGGTGATGGGAAAAAAATTGCAGGGCTGAAGATTGTGAACACATTGACGCTGACATTTCATTCCAGTTTTCAAAATGGAGTTAACTGGACAGCAGAATCACATATATATGAGAGTTTGTCACTGTGCACACCTTGCAGTGGGACATGATGGGTTTGTTTGCATGCCCACTCTGCCATCAGCCTGGGGACACTACCACACCTCCCTGGACGGTAGCCCAGCAGCCATGGTTCAAACAGTTCTGGGCTCTCAGCAAATGTTTATGTCTGCCCAGACCATGCATGGACCATTTCTCAGAAAGGATCTACCTACACATGCCCAGTAGTGTTAAAGAGGGTGAGTTGGCCGCATGTGGTGGTTCATGCCTGTAATCCCAGCACTTTGGGAGGCCACGGCAGAAGGATTGCTTGAGCCCACGAGTTCAAGACCAGCCTGGGCTGTGGCATACAAAAAAATAAAAAACTTCACCTCCTGGCCGGGCGCGGTGGCTCAAGCCTGTAATCCCAGCACTTTGGGAGGCCGAGACGGGCGGATCACGAGGTCAGGAGATCGAGACCATCCTGGCTAACACGGTGAAACCCCGTCTCTACTAAAAAATACAAAAAACTAGCCAGGCGTGGTGGCGGGCGCCTGTAGTCCCAGCTACTCGGGAGGCTGAGGCAGGAGAATGGCGGGAACCCGGGAGGCGGAGCTTGCAGTGAGCTGAGATTCGGCCACTGCACTCCAGCCTGGGTGCCAGAGCGAGACTCCGTCTCAAAAAAAAAAAAAAAAAAAAAAAAAAAAACTTCACCTCCTATGGTGGCATGCACCTGTCGGGAGGCCAAGGTGGGAGGATCGTTGGGATGGCTGGGATCACTGGAAGGTCAAGGCTGCAGTGAGCTGTGATTTTGCCCCTGCACTCCAGCCTGGGTGACAGAGTGGGATTCCGTATTTAAACAATAAATAAAATAAAATAAAATAAAATAAAATAAAAAATAATAAAATAAAATAAATGGAGGCGAGGAGGAAATAAGGCAGGGACAGGGAGGCAGAAGCAGGTGCTTTGGAGAAGTTGGTTCAGCTCTCTGCCTTCTACTGTCGGAATCTGTTCATGTAGTCCTTAGGCTTTTTTTGCCCATTTAGATTGACCTGCCCTGCTGACCTGTGTAGCTTCAGGCAGTCCATTTGCCCTCTCAGGGCTTCGGTCTCACCGTTTAAAAAAAAAAAAAAAAAAAAAGGCGGGAGCGGGGGCAGGCGCGGTGGCTCAAGCCTGTAATCCCAGCACTTTGGGAGGCCGAGGCGGGCAGATCACAAGGTCAGAAGATCGAGACCATCCTGGCTGACACGGTGAAACACCCTCTCTACTAAAAATACAAAAAACTAGCCGGGCGAGGTGGCGGGCGCCTGTAGTCCCAGCTACTCGGGAGGCTGAGGCAGGAGAATGGCGGGAACCTGGGAGGCGGAGCTTGCAGTGAGCCGAGATGCGTGTTTTAAAAAAAAAAAAAAGGGGGGGAGGGGTAAGCTGAAGAGCAAGAGGAGGTCCCCGGGGTCTCTCCAGGGTCATTCTGAGTACCTTGAAGTAAATGGTGTTAACCAGCACCAGAACAGTGAGCTCGTTGATGGCTTCCGGGGGAATGACATCGGTGATTCGGCCTTCGGTCTTATTGGACACCCATTTGTTGATGACCGCTCTGGATTGCTCTGCATTTTCCTGAGAACAGAAAATAAACCTACTCACCTGTGCTATTCGATTGGCTTCCCCATTTTCCCAGGCCGCGTTTTATTTTTCTCACCATCCCTCTGCCCTTTCCCACCATTTGATTAAGAAGCCATCGCTCTAATCCAAATTGGGGAAACCTCACATATCTAATGTAGTTCCATGACTCTTTCCTGTAGTTAATAAATATCATCAGAAGAAAAAGAACAAAAAGAAATAGGAAGAAATCAAGGAAAAGAAGGAAGATGAAAACAGTCTGGGAAAAATAAGATAAAATATTATTTTCTCTGACTTTGGAAAATCGGAACTCACAAAAGTAGAGTTTCCAAGGCATGTTCCAGGGAAAGCAATGAATGATTGCAGGTTATATGGGGTTGGGAGGTTATATGGAGGAGAGAAATGGCCATGCAGTCAAATACATTTGAGGAATGCTGATTGAATAACGCCAACAGATTTCTTTGTTGCAGAGTTTCTCTGAAACTTCATAGGCCCATGTTCTTCATGAATCTCCAAAAGGAGAATATGACATGCATCATGTACCAACTTTATTTGACCGTGATAACTGTTCAAATTAAGTAAGATATCTTTTTTTTTTTTTTTTTTTTTTTGTTTTTTTTTTTTTGAGACGGAGTCTGGCTCTGTCGCCCAGGCTGGAGTGCAGTGGCCGGATCTCAGCTCACTGCAAGCTCCGCCTCCCGGGTTTACGCCATTCTCCTGCCTCAGCCTCCCGAGTAGCTGGGACTACAGGCGCCGCCACCTCGCCCGGCTAGTTTTTTGTATTTTTTAGTAGAGACGGGGTTTCACCGTGTTAGCCAGGATGGTCTCAATCTCCTGACCTCGTGATCCGCCCGTCTCGGCCTCCCAAAGTGCTGGGATTACAGGCTTGAGCCACCGCGCCCGGCAAGTAAGATATCTTGTAGGACTGGCACCTTCCAAACACCCTTTGGTATATATTTGAAATTGGTGGATGGAATGAAGAATTGATTATTTATTCACGTTTTCCTGGGCAGTCACTACAATCTAAGCATGGATATCATTGATTTCTCAGGTTTCCAGTAAGAATAACTATTCCCGGGGTGCTGACTTGTAGCCAGCCCCCCGACAGTCTTCAGCAGCAAAGCAGTGTGAATTTGGATGCTGTTTCTCCCCCTCCTCAATCTCTGAGTGGAGAGGAAGAACTCGGAGGTCAGGGGTAACATCTGCAACTCACCTTGAAGTCCAGGGGCTGGAGCTTGGCTCCATATACCAACTCACTGATGTCCTGGTAGGTCTCATTGAAGGTAAGGGATTTGTCTCCAAAAAGGCGATTGGCTGATACTAACTTGGAGGATTTGTTGGCTTTTCGATAGAGTCGGCAGTTCAGTTTGGCAAAGAAGAAGTGGATCTGATCAGATGTTTTCTCAGATATGGTGTCAAACTTAAATACCTACAGAAGTCAAAAAAAATGGTGGTGAGTTTGGTGGGCAGCCTGGCTAACATGGGTGTTGAGCATAGACTGGTCAGTCTCTGACTAATAGCCACCTCAGTTGTGAACTCCTTCAAGCACAGTACCTGGGACAGCATAAATGCTCAACTCTTGTGTTCTGATGAATAAAGGGATAAGAGAAGAATGAAGGGTAGGAAGGATAAAGGGAAAAAGAGAGACTAGGTCACCACCTAAAATCTCTAAAGGGCTCTGGATCAACACACATGTTTTCTTGCTGGAATGGGAAAAGTCCTCTTGGTGATTCTGGACAGAGAAGAGAATCAGGACAGTGTCCTTTCTTGTAGCAAACACTTCAGTGGCATCTCTTGGGGCCAGCTGCTCACGGAGGCTCTGGGATACTGGTGGTAGGGGTAAAAAGGAAGAGTGAATCTATCAGCAAGGGATTAAACAGGCCCAGAATCCAAGAGTCTCAGGGTTGAAAACGACTTAGAAGTCATCCATGCTTTGAAGATGGAATCCCCCAGTGCCCACCTTCACCATCCCCAAGGCGAATGGGTGAGGCTGTTCCCCTCCTGCCCTTCCCGTGCTCTCTCCTCAGGCTACAAAAGGCCTTTTGGTTTTATCTGTTCTCTGCCTTTGGTTTTCCTGATTTTGTTCCAACAGGCACGTTTTTTGGGGGCGGATTATACTTTTGATCAAAAGCTTGGTGCTGAATTTCTCTTTTCTCCAGAGAGATTCAGTCTCACCCTGCTTTCGAACACATGGCATTTGTGTAGAGGGGAGGACCCAAGGAATATGCGTGGTTTGGAAGCAGTGTTCTGTTCTTCTTGTAGGAAGGGTTACATTTAAGATCTTACTTGGGGACAGAGACATGAGGGATATGGAAGGGCTTTGAGACCAGTACCAATGTATACAAAAATGACTGAAGGGCCCAGAGAAGGCAGTACTAAGTGTCTTAAGGGTTTTTAAACCTACAGTTTCTTTCGGAGAGTGAAGACTTGGGTTAACTCATCCCAGAGCCCTGAGCAAAGGTGATGAAGTTCCATGGAAACTGACCACTAGAATAGAAGGAACCCTTCTAAGACCCGCAGACTTTAGTGTCCAAGGTCCAAATAAGCACCATATACCATCTTGAAGGGACTCATGCCTCCCTATGGATGAACTCTGCTTCCAAAGTGTAATCCAACCTGAAGAAAGACTGTCAGGCAGCCAAGCCAAAGACAGATTAAAGATCTAGGGTTTCCATCCATGACTTATCATAGCCCCAGAGGCCAATAGTGATCAATCAATCCATGACGCTTCATCTTATCATGCCCTACTTCCCTCCCAGAAAAGGTAGTGGGGGAAAAGGGGTGGGAACTAAGTCACTGAGCTGAAATTAGCCATACTTCCCAGAGCCAGAAAACACCCTCACGTCCTTGAGGCTTCTCTTGGCTTTCCTGGGCCCCTGGTCTCAATATACCATCCTAGGCTGGGTGTGGTGGCTCCCACCTGTAACCCCAGCACTTTGGGAGGCCAAAGCGGGCAGATCACTTGAAGTCAAGAGTTTGAGGCCGGGCGCAGTGGCTCATGCCCATAATCTCAGCTTTTTGGGAGGCCGAGGTGGATGAATCACGAGGTCAGGAGTTCAAGATCAGCCTGGCCAACATGGTGAAACCCTGTCTCTACTAAAAATACAAAATGGTGCCAGGCGCCTATAATCCCAGCTACTCAGGCGGCTAAGGCAGAGAATTGCTTGAACCCGGGAGATGGAGGCTGCAGTGAGCCGAGATTGCGCCATTGCACCCCAGCCTGGGTGACAAAGCGAGACTCCGTCTCAAAAAAAAAAAAAAAAAAAAAAAAAAAAAGAGTTTGAGACCAGGCTGGCCAACATGGTGAAACCCCATCTCTACTAAAAATACAAAAATTAGCTGGGGGTGGTGGCGTGTGCCTGTAATCTCAGCTACTCAGGAGGTTGAGGTGGGAGAATTGCTTGAACCTAGGAGGCAGAGGTTGCAGTGAGTCGAGACTGCACCACTGCACTCCAGCCTGGGCAACAGAGTGAGACTCCATCTCAAAAAAATAATAATACTCATAATAATATCCTAGCATTTTTTTCCACAAAAGCCCATATGCCTGATGTCACCAGATGGTAAAGCTCCCCTTCTTCTGCCGGAGGAGGGACTGGCACAACACATTGCCCGGCACAGAGGAAGTGCTGAATGAATGAATAAATAAATGATCAAATTAATGAGTAAACATATAGATGAAAAAATTACTGAAGAGAGAAGTCGAAAGAGATAGAAGCCCTCCCCCATTGTAAGGTCGCTCAAAAGAAGAAACCAGGATTTAAAAAGCAGATATCCAGGTGGTAATTCCTTGGCTAATTTAAAAAAAAATGGTTTTCAAAGGGAATTATAACACATGAAGTAGTGACTCAAAGGGAATCGTAATGCATAAAGAGCGCCCTTAGTGGCCTGCAGTGTTGGTTGAGAAGTCACTGGACTTGGACCTATGCAAGCCCCAAAGGTGCTCCTAGCAAGGTGGCTGGGCAGAAGACCTTTGGGTCGTACCTCCATCAGTTGCTTGAGGGTGTCATTACAGGCACCCAGCTTGGTCATAGCAAAAGCCGTGGAGACACTCAGGGGTGACAGGAAAATGTTATCCTTGTCGTTCTTGGAATCTGCCAGGTGCTGATAGAAAGTGGTAGCAAAGCGGGAATTGGCCTTCGACAGTTCCCAGACGCGCCGGTTGGTGGCCTCGGGGATCTTCTGTTCTGAGCCCTCATCCTCAGTTGCCTTCTTCTCTGGGGAGCGGTAAATGCACATGGGATTCATGGGAATGTCCCGCGGCTTGGCTGTGCAGATGTCCACAGGGCTCCCGTGACAGGTCATACAGTCCCAGAGGCCAATGAGCAGCAAGGACAGAAGATAAACCTTCCTGCAAGGGGGCAAAATGCCAAGTTAAGCTAGGCTGCAACCCCTAGCCCCACTGCCCACCACAGGGTTGCCTCAGTAAAGCAGAGGATTCCAGCCCACCTGGTGTGGCCAAGAGAAGGGCTAAAGTCTTTGAACCAAGTACAAGGGCCCAGACTGAACCTAGAACAGGTTCAGTCCTAGACTTCTTGCCAGGGGATAGTTCAGTTGCCTGGACATGGTCATGTTGGAATTAGAATCAACTGACAGTTATTTGAAGTATTATTATGTGCTCAATTTCCCCATGCTGGGAGAAAAAGAATGTGAAGCTTCCTGTTTGTGACATGGAACACACGTGCCTAAAAAATCGGCTGGGAACTTTAGTGCCCAGTGAAGAGTCAGGGCGGTAGGGGGTGCCACCTACAGAAACTGTTTGGGGAAGGGCTCTGATAGATGCAACAGAGAGATTTCAGCAACACAAGAGAGGTAAGAAGAAACGGATGGAGCAAAGGCAATATCTGGCCAGGCGCGGTGGCTCACGCCTGTAATCCCAGCACTCTGGGAGGCTGAGGCAGGCAGATCACTTGAGGTTAGGTGTTCAAGATCAGCCTGAACAACATGGTGAAACCCCATCTCTACTAAAAATACAAAACTTAGCTGGGTGTGGTGGTGCACACCTGTAGTCCCAAGCTACTGGGGAGACTGAGGCAGGAGAATTGCTTGAACCCAGGAGGCGAAGGTTGCAGTGAGCTGAGATTGCACCACTGCACTCCAGCCTGGTGGGCAAAGTGAGACTCTGTCTCAAAACAACAACAACAGCAACAACAAAACAATGGCAACATCTGTGTGCTGAAGATTCCCACATATCTAGCTCCAGCCCTAACCCTTCCACTGAGCTCCAGACTGACTATTTGCTGGACAATTCCACCAGAAACTCCTACAAGTTCTTTAGGGAAACAGGGACAAAGTGACCTGGTAATTAATTCTCCCCGAGGTGCCTGCTCCTCGTGTCCTCCAGCTCAGTGAAGGGGCTCAGTGAATTCAGTACAGAAAGCCGAGAATCACCCTGGATTCCTCTCTCTCTCCTCCTCATTTAGTCAAACCCCAAAGTCAATCAGTTCTGTTTTTTTACTCTTTCACCAGTTATTGCCACTGCTTTAGTTCAGGCTCTCATCCTTTTTTATTGCCTGGAATTTTTAATAGTCTCCAACATGGATTCAATGAAGGTAAACTAAGTTAATTTCACATTTTTAAAAAATGAGGTAGTTGGGACACTGGATGAAGCAAATCAAGAGATAAAGTCTCTTGTAATATTTTTTGTAGATAAGACAAGGGTGGGCTGCCTCCAACGGGTTTAGGGTCCCTGGGTATACAGAAGGGAGTCCGTCTGTGGGTACTGGATCTTCCCATCTTCTCCTGGGAGAGAAAGAGAGGCGCCCAGTGCAGATTCACAGATGTGGTCTGCTGGGCAAGCGTGGGACTGGCTGGAAGCTGGGGCAGCTGAGGGGTACTTGCCTTCTTACATGGTCTCAGTCCAGTTCTGCAGCCCTTTCAAGAACAGAGGTGCAAAGCGGGAAAGAAGCAGAGGCACCAAGGGAGATGTGGAAGGCAGGCTGAAGTAGCAGAGAGAGAGAGAGGAGAGGACCCTGCCATTCATCTTCCCATCTCCACTGCCTTCGGTTGCCCACTCTGTCCTTCAGCGACATTTGGAAATGCAATTCGAGGCTGAGGGGACCCTGGGAGGGTTATGAAGCGCAAATTAAAACCAAGACAGTTGTGCCACCGCCCCATTTCTAGTCTCCTGTGACAACTCAGATGAAGAAGGGAGTGTGTGTGGCATTGAGGGAGGGTCAGCTCTCACTGTGAGAAAAGGAACCAGTTTCGGCCCTTTAGTCAAAGGTCACTGGGATCTTGGGTGGGGGCAGAGTGGAGTGGATCTGAGTGGAAGAAGGAGCAAAAAGGGAGTGAAGAGGTCCTCGTGGGTAACATTTGCTCTCTTCCCAGATTTGCTCTCTTACGGCAGGCCCTGGGGATTCCCCTTGGAGCATCCCCTGGATTCTGTGAGTGCTGGCATCCTGCACAGCATCTTTACACCAGGGATGACATCCCCCTTGTTTCTTAGGCTAGGGACCCAAGGTGTGGCTTAGGAAAGGCCTTACCCCAAGAGGGGGGTGGGAGGGAGGGCGCTTGAAATGACGTCTTCCAAACAGGTCTTTGACTGTAACTACCAGGGAGAGGGCCTGGTCTTCTCAAAGGTGTTAGAGGTCATTCCTGTGAGTCCTTTGGAGGTCGGGAAACCCAGTGAGGGCAGCCAAGGGGAAAGCTCACCCCTCTTACCTTTTTCCAGAGGCTACGGTTCCTATCACATTGGAATACATGGTCGCTAATCTTCCACAGGGCTGGGCAAGTGGAGATGGTTGGTCTGAGGCAATCTGTCTGAAAACTGGTTCTTTCCTCTAAATCTCACAGAGGTTCCAGAGGCCAGGGTGCATCAGGGAGCTGGTCAGGAGGGGGAACTGAGGTCAAAGGCTGATGACCAGTTCCCAGGGTTAAGCAAAGTGTAGAGCCCAGTGTTGTTTAATTAGTAGAGAAGTTTCAAAGTTCAGTCAGGCCCAGGGAAAGCCTGAGCCACCTCTCTTGCCCACACTCCCTCACTCTCCTCCTCAGCTTTATGGAAAAGGAAAAGGAGAGCATGTTCATCCCCTCAAACTTGGTTAGGAAATACCTGACTGAGGAGAAATTTGTCTGCAGGATTTTTTCTTTCTGGTTAACCATATCAGAAGATAGAAATAGCTCATGTCCAAAAACTTCTAGCCCTCTACCTGTAATTCCCTCTCTCATAGTTTTCTTTATGGACAGAGAGAGAGAGAGAGAAATAAATATCTAATTAGAGGAGGCGAAGAGGGACAAGCTGCTGCCTTCAGGCATCTGAGTGCCAAGGTGTCCCTGGTGCAGACAAGGAAAATACAGTGGTTATACCTGTGGCCCACAGAGAGACCCATTCCCCAGCAGGCCTGAAGTGGTGGGACAGGGACAGAAGAGCAGGGCCTCGGGGTGCATGCCAAGTGTGTTTCTAAGGGGTGTGAGCAGCTGAGAAATACTTAGCAAAACTCTATTGGGGGATCAGGAGACAGAATGTGGGGCAGGTAAAAAACCCATGTACAACTGCTGAAATAAAAACAAACTAAATTATATTTATGTGTATTGTTATTTTTATTAGTTATGAGGGAGATTGGGTAAATTCAAACTAACGGAGATAAAGGGCAGGTTTATTTACATTTCCCTCTTCTGAAATAGCCAAAAGCACCATCACAAGGATTGCAGCCACCGAGTTCACAGGGCGCGTGTGCCTCCTGCTGTGTGATCAAGGACTCCTTGTTGTTGTTGCAGTCATAGGCATTTTAGAGAGCTCTTCGTTCATGAGAGAGGACACCTCTCCTGGGCTGAAGCTGTGTCTAAGTTCTTGGCTGATTCAGACCCTGGATCGGTTGAAGCCCTCCATGTGCAGTGTGAACAGTTGCCGAGAACTGTCCCAAAGAGCCCCAGAATGCCCAGAGGCTCATCTGTCACCCTAGATTAAAGACTATTGAAAAGGCTCCTGGTCAACCACTGGAGTTCAACAAACACATAAGTGCTACCTGTGCCAGCAGACACTGTTCTTGGAGTTGGGATTCCATTCAGGGGAGACATGCAGCAATCACATAAAGAATCAGTATTTTGGGCTGAGCGTGGTGGCTCACACATGTAATCCCAGCACTCTGGGAGGGAGGCAGATCACCTGCGGTCAGGAGTTCGAGACCAGCCTGGCCAACCTGGTGAAACCCCATCTCTACTAAAAATACAAAAATTAGCTGGGCATGGTGGCGGGCACCTGTAATCCCAGCTACTCAGGTGGCTGAGGCAGGAGAATCACTTGACCCCGGGAGACAGAGGTCGCAGTGAGCCGAGACCGCACCATTGCACTCCAACCTGGGTGACAGAACAAGTCTCAAAAAAAAAAAAAAAAAAAAAAATCAGTATTTAAAAAATAAATATGTAACGTGCCAGTCAGATGTTAATAAGGTCCATAGAGAAAACTATAGCAGGGCAAGGGTATATAGGAAGCAGTGGGAGGAAATGGGTAGGGAACCATCTGAGAACATGTGGTAGGAAAGGCCTCCCTTAGGCATCGTTGTTAGGAAACCAGAATGAAATGATGGAGGGGGCCATATGAATATCCTTAGGAAGAGTCATCCATAGAAGAAATCAGAAATACAAAGACCTTGAGGTTTCAGGACTATGCTCTTGAGACCTATTGTTCCAGTTTATAGGATTTGTGAGGTTTGTGTCTTGCCAAGAAGGTCCTTGGAGGAGGGCAGATGAGGGGTCCTGCAGAAATATAGGTGATTTGGTGAACATCTGCTGGAAAAGATTAGGATGCAGATACTACCAGGTCAAGGAGTTAAGAACTATAACATCAGGGTTTGGGTTTAATTTGTTCATCCAGGCTGGATGCAGTGGCTCACATCTGTAATCCCAGCATTTTGGGAGGCCGACGCTTGAGGCCAGGAGTTCAAAACCAACTGTGAGACCCCACACAGTGAGACCCCCATCTCCAGAAAATAATAATAATAAGCTGGGCATGGTGGCCTGATTCTGTAGTCCCAGCTACTCAGGAGGCTGAGGTGAGAGGATTGCTTGTGTTCAGGAATTCAGGCTGCAGTGAGCTGTGATCACGCCACTGCACTCCAGCCTTGGTGACAGAGTGAGACCCTGTCTCAAATGTTAAAAATTAAATTATATGTATTTTTTAAAAAGTGTTCTGCCAGGTATGGCAGCTCACACCTGTAATCCCAGCAGTTTGGGAGGCTGAGGTGGGCAGATCACTTGAGGCCAGGGGTTTGAGACCAGCCTGGCCAACACGGTGGAACCCTGTCTCTACTAAAAAATACAAAAAAAATTAGCTGGGCATGGTGGCGTGCGCCTGTAATCTCAGCTACTTGGGAGGCTGAGGCAAGAGAATCACTTGAACCTGGGAGGTGGAGGTTTCAGTGAGCCGAGATCACACCACTGCACTCCAGCCTGGATGACAGAGTGAGACTCTACAGGTGTGAGCCACTGTGCCTGGCCCATATTCTTTTCTTCTTCTTCTTCTTCTTTTTTTTTTTTTTTTTTTTTTTGAGATGGAGTCTCACTCTGTCACCCAGGCTGGAGTACAGTGACCTGATCTCAGCCCACTCCAACCTCTGCCTCCCAGGTTCTAGCGATTCTCATGACTCAACCTCCCGAGTAGCTGGGATTACTGGCCCCCGTCACCATGCCTTGCAAATTTTTTTGTATTTTTAGTAGAGATGGGGTTTCACCATGTTGGCCAGGCTGGTCTCAAGCTCCTGACCTCAAGTGATCCATAATCTTGGCCTTCCAAAGTGCTGGGATTACAGGCGTGAGCCACTGCGCCCAGCATTATTTTCAAATATAGTACTATTTTAAAATCTCTAAACTTTATTCTAATTTTGCCAATCATCCAATTCATGTTTTTAGAGACAGGTTGTCACTCTGTTGCCATTAGAGATGGGGGTCTTGCTCTGCTGCTCACGCTGGTCTCAAACTCCTGGCCTCAAGCAATCCTCCCGCCTCAGCCTCTCCACTAGCTGAAATTACAGGCAGGAGCCACCACACCTGGTTATCAAAGCAGTGGTTTTCACCTTCTTTGTTTCAGAATCCTTTTACAGTCTTGCCAAAGAACATCTAAATATTATTATTAAAATAGTTATGTACTAAAATAGTTTTGGCCAGCCTCAGTGGCTCACACTAGTAATCCTAGCATTTTGGGAGGCTGAGGCAAGAGGACTGCTTGAGCCCAGGAGTTCAAGACTAGCCTGGGCAACATGGCTAAACTCCATCTCTATAAAAAAAATACAAAAACTTAGCTGGGCATGGAGGTATGTGCCGGTAATCTCAGCTACTCAGGAGGCTGAGGTGGGAGAATCACTTGAGCCTGGAAGGTTGAGGCTGCAGTGAGCCGTGATGGCACCACCACACTCCAGCCTGGGTGATGGAGTAAGATCCTGTCTCAAAACATAAATAAATAAAATGAAATCCTTTTGACTTCATATACCTACTGACAGGTTTTCTGAATCTCCTAGGGTCCCTGGACCACGCTTTGAGAAGCACTGATTTATAACAAAAAAAAAAAAAAAAGAAAGAAAAGTATTTTTTTTCTCCTTTCTCTGGGGCAGGAGCACACATTGCATTTAGTTGTCATGTCTCTGTCGTCTTCTGAGGCGTGGAACCGTTCCACTCATCTACAGCCATACCACCCTGAACGTGCCTGATCTCGTCCGATCTTGGAAGCTAAGCAAGGTCGGACCTGGTTAGTACTTGGATGGGAACAGTTTCTCTCTTTTTCTTTCATGATTTTGGCTTGTTTGGCTTGTTTGATTTAGGCCAGTTAATTTTGAAGAATGTCTCTCAACTTGGTATGTCTAAAATTTCTTCAGGATTAGATGCAAGTTATCCTTTTGGGGGCAGGAATACAACAGAGGTAATACTGTGTCCTTCTCAGTGTATTGCATCCGGAGGTACACTAATTTGTCCTATTACTGGTGATTAACTTGGATTACAGGATTGTGTCTGCCAAGTTGCTCTGCTGTAAAACTACAATATTCCCCCTTTTGTTAAATGTCTTGTGGGAATACTTCACATACTTGAGAGTATGCAAATACATTGTTTTCCATCAAATTTTCACCTGCTAATTTAAGCATGCCTCAATGATCCCTTTGCAAGACTTAAACATTTGTTTTAAATTCATCTTTTTTTTTGAGACAGGGTCTCGCTGTTGCCCAGTCTGGAGTACAGTAGCACCATCACATCTCACTGACGTCCTGAACAACCTGGGCTCAAACAATCCTCCCACCTTAGTCTCCCGAGTAGCTGGGACTACAGGTGTGTGCTACTGTGTCTGGCTATTATTTATTTATTTATTTATTCTGAGAGGCATTTTCACTCTTGTTACCCAGGCTAGAGTACAGTGATGTAGTCTCGGCTCACAGCAACCTCCACCTCCTGGGTTTAAGCCATTCTCCTGCCTCAGGCTCCCAAGTAGCTGGGATTACAGGCATGCGCCACCATGCCCAGCTAACTTTTGTATTTTTAGTAGAGACGGGATTTCATCATGTTGGCCAGGCTGGTTTTGAACTCCTGGCCTCAGATGATCTGCCTGCCTCGGCCTCCCAAAGTGCTGGGATTATAGGCATGAGCCACCGTGCCCGGTCTTATTTATTTATTTTTAAAAACTTTTTGTACAGATGGGTTTTCGCCATGTTGCCCAGGCTGGTCTCTAACTCCTGAGCTCAAGTGATCTGCCTGCCTTGGCCTCCCAAACTGTTAGGATTACAGGTGTGAGCCACCACATCCAGACCCTGCAAGACTTTCAAAGCACTCCTCCCTCCCTGTTATTTCCATGTTTCTCTAAAAAGGATTATCACAAAAACCATTAGAATTAAAAGAGATTAAGTTAGACAATACACTAGGCTGCGAGGAAACAAGCTGTTTCATCCATTGCTCTTCGGGGTACAAAGTGCCATAACTCTTTGTAGGGAAATGTGGAAACACCAAAATGCAAATGCATGTACCCTGTGAACCGGACATTCCACTTTAGGAAATTCATCCTATAGCTACACCTGCGTGGGTTTCAACAAGGTTAGCTGTCACAACCTGATTCAGAATAGCGAAAAGTTGGACACCACTTCCATCTGTAGGAGACTGGTTAAATAAACCAAGGCACATCCCCACAATGGAAGACTGTGCCATTGTGTAAAAGAATGACGATGCTCTATATGGATGTACTGATGTGGAAGCGTCCTTAAGATAATTATGCGGGGGAAAAGCAAGCTGCAGAAAGTGTTTCTAGTATGCTACGGTTTTTGTAACACAAAGTGAGGATGATGGGGTGAGGGGTGGCTAGAGACACAGGTGGGAGTAGACTTATCAGTATGTACCATCTCATTTAGTTTTCTAATTTTGAACATGTCAATGTATCACCTATTCAATACGTCTTGACTTTATGACACAAGGGTGTCAGTGTTGGATTTACACAGAGGCTTAGGGAGAGAAGAGGAGCAGGGCAGGATGAGGGCAGTGGCGGTACCAAAGAGGAACCTGAGGCAGGCTGAGCGCCTGGCTGGTGACAGGGGAGAAAAGGAGAATGGGTCTGCAGGTGGAAAGAGGTGTTTAGGTGTGCCCTACCTGGGAAAGTAATTTCTAACGGCTGTATAATATTTAATAGTCTATAACTTAACCATTACTTTAGTGTTAGACATTAGCTTAGGTCAGACTCTTTAAATATTTGAACATGATTTATGATCATATAGGTGCCATCTTAATAGGTGCTATTTAAAAACACTATATACCAGGGTCTATACTAAATGCTTCTCAGGCATTAGCTTATATAATTCTCTCATCAACTCTACCGGGAAGATACTAATTATGCCCAGTTTACAGATGAGAACACTACTATTCACAAGGGTTATTTGCCCCAAATCGCAAAGCTAGCAGAACTGAGATTCAAACCTCCTCCTGCTTTTCCCAGAGCTCTTGTGTCCCAGCATGATAGATATGAAAGAAATATCCAGGACTTTCCATGTTACAACCCAGTGTCCAATTGCTTTTCATCTGTTTCTCCTCTGGGTAGTCTCTGTCAAACTTGTTCACAATTCCCTCCAAAACCAGTGCCCAGAAATGAACCCAGGAACTACCACCTTTTCCTTTGTCTCTATCTCTCTATCTCTCTCTCTCTATCTCTCTATCTATCTATCTATCTATCTATCTATCTATCTATCTATCTAT